AAAAAAAAAAAAAAAAAAGGCAAGAGGAAGTGGAGTGTGACATGAAGGGTGACGTGGAGGTTGTCATTAAGCCACATAAGCATATTTTACATGTTGGCATACCCACATCAGCTGTGCCAGTTAAGTTAATATGCCACATGAGCAAAAATTAACGGAAGGACTAAAAAAGGGTCGGATTTTAAAACTTAGAGATCAAAAAGGGGATTTTTTCGATATAGGGACCAAAAAAGAGCTTTTTCCTATAGTAGAGGGACCAAAAAGGGTATTTAACCAATTATAAATGTTCTCATATTCTTTTACAATTGTAAAGATTGAAAAGATTTGAAAATTCTTCTTAACTACGTCACCAGAGACATCAAGAACAATAAAAGATGACTCCAAGTTTCAGTTACAATGCAAGTAATTCTTAAAGATTAAAACTAGTTTTTTTTTCCCCTTAATGTATCAATGACTCAATCTAATCTTCTAAAGCTTGTTAAAAGCAAATAAAATTTAAAATGAATATCACTTTTATTGATTAGATGCATTCATAACCAAAAATTAAAACTCTTTAATCAAATATCCAAGAATAGCATAATATTAAGATTAGTTTTATTGTAAAGTTTTATACTTCTTGAATAATGCTCCTTTAATGCTTAGTTAGGAGAATCAAAATACTATTTTATGAACAAATTAGAAATATAGGATTCTAAGAGTAGAGTTGTAAACTAGTTTTGAGGGGTAGAATTGCATATGAATTAGGATTAGAATATACGATTAAGAAAGGAAAAAAATTAGGGAATATGGAAATGTTTTATTTTTATTTTTTAGTTAAGTTAATGAAATTACTAACTTGTGAAACAAGGGAAAAGAAAATTTAAAATATTACAAAGAAATGTTATATTATTTAATTAAGTTATTTTATATTCATATTTTATTTTGTAATTGGACAATTCATGTGTTTTGAAGGAAAAATTACAAATCAAATTAATTATATCGATTTAAAAATTCTATAATTCAAACTAATCAAATTTTATATTAGTTTGATTTGGTTTTTAATTGGATTGCAACAGTTTGGATCAAATCAATCATATTAGATCAAATATAAACATCTCTATCTATAAGTATAAGGATATGTTTAGATAAAAATTAGTAAAGGGAAGTGAAGGAAAGGGAGAAGAAGGGCAGAGAAGGGAAAGAAAAGAGAGTAAAGGATTAATATTAACTTTACTTGGATAGATTAAAAAAGAGGAAGGAGAGGGAGATGAAGATGATATTTTTTTTACTTAATTAAATAAATTAAAGAAATATAATTATAAAATTAATTAAAATGTTATAAATTTATATATTAAAATTAAAGCTATAATAG